TGACCTGTCTTATTTGGCTCAGCAGAACTAAAATATACATCCTGCTGCTTTTACACACACTCACATAAGCTCAACGATTCTCTGCGCGATCAACCTCTCACATGTTTAAGCTTGCTGCGGGAGATTTCACTTGTCATGTTTGCATAGTAAGCTAACGATTAATAAGACGATGTCAGAGGAATTGGTGCACAAATTATCATCACTCACAGATCAGTGCTGTCGCTCTCTATACACAGTTCGCACGATTGCAAAGTGAAAGCAAAAAAACAAGCGCAAATTCAAACGCGATTCAATATGTCACATATTGACAGTGGCTCACCGATGCCAATGACATAATTACCCAGCTACATTTCTGAAAGAATGCAAAAGCATTGACATATATTTTCCTTCCTACGATAGCCAGACGGGCAGGAAGAGATAGATTTTGGTAGCCCGACTGAAAAAATCGCTAGCTCCAGGACGTCAGGCTAGCGATATTGCGAGCCCTGTATCTGATTGAGGAATCACTCATCTTTGGAAAAGAGAGTTTATTACAGAGAAATGTCTCTTTCCAAAATAAAAGCTATACTATCCGCTTCTTCCGGGCTATATTCTCAGCAGCATAAGGAGAATCATGTGCTAACAGCTGTCTAAATGACTCGGCTAAAGTTAGTAGCATGCTTGTTGTTTTTGTCTTTGCACTAGGACGATGTCGGCGTAAATGTGCAGTCATATTCGTTGTGTTCCCACTAGTGCTTTCAGGTTAATCTCGTTGAAATGACCTTAACGCCACAACACGGCAAATCTCCGTTAACGAGCTACCGCCGATTGCTCCGTGCATGGGGCTAGACGGCCAACACGTTAACGAGCTAACTGCGCTAACACACTAGTTCCACCCATGTAATTGAGCATTGCATGGCACATCCAACATACTGTTTACTTTAGTCCATGACTCGCTTACCTTCAGGGTCATACGTCACATGAAAACCAAAATAATTCCAAACGCCAGATCTGAATGAGGTGGGGAGGTGCCCTGCGCACTTCCTTCTGACAATGCTGTCTGTGTTGAGCGCTCAGTGGATCTGCGCTCGACAGTGCAGCCTAGGCGGAGTAGTCGAACGCAGATTCACTGAGCGCTCAACACAGACAGCATCGTCAGAAGGAAAGTTGATAAAATAAATTACATTTTTTTTAAAATTACAAATGTTGTATTGTTCGATACATATGCTACCAAACCGAAAGCACTGTATCAAACGTTCAATATCGATACGAATATTGTTGCACCCCTAATATAATATATATATATATATATAATATATATCGTCTCTTGCCCACCGATGCCTTCTTGTTCCAGTAGCCCACTTTTGTCAGGGTGCCCTGGTTCCTCAACACTGACGCGGACCTTGTTGATCCGGGCGACGTCCGAGCCGGCATGCCTTCATATTTATCTGTCTCGCTCATGTCTGCAGTAGGCTTGCTTAGCATAGGGGTCTAGCCTTAGGACCCTTACTGGATACAGACCCCCAGGCAGGAATCGAATTTGCGAACCTCTGTTCCAAAGGCGTGTAGTCTAACCACTACGCTATCCAGCTGCAGTGAGATCATAACAACACTGGCTACGGATACCGACTACGGAACGGAGCAGTTGTCAGCCACCTCCTGTACATGGATGACATCAAGCTGTATGCCAAGAGTGAACGAGACATCGATTCACTGATCCACACTACCAGGCTATACAGCAATGACATTGGAATGTCGTTCGGACTGGAGAAGTGTAGTCGGATGGTAACAAAGAGAGGGAAGGTAGTCAGAACTGAGGGGATTGAACTACCAGAAGGCAACATTGCAGACATAGAGGACAGTTACAAGTACCTGGGGATCCCGCAGCGAATGGAACCATGAAGAGGCCGCTAGAAAAGCTGCAACCACCAAGTACCTGCAGAGGGTCAGGCAAGTCCTGAGGAGTCAGCTGAATGGTAAGAACAAGATCCGGGCCATCAACACGTACGCCCTGCCCGTGATCAGGTACCCAGCTGGGGTAATAGGCTGGCCAAAGGAGGAGATAGAAGCCACTGACATAAAGACAAGAAAGCTCCTTACCATGCATGGAGGGTTTCACCCCAAGTCCAGCACCCTGAGGCTGTACGCTAAGCGGAAGGAAGGGGGCCGGGGACTGGTGAGTGTCAGCACCACAGTCCAGGATGAGACAACAAACATCCAAGAATACATTAATGGCCCCAACTGACCGAGTGCTCAGTGAATACCTCAGGCAGCAGAAACCCAAGAAAGAGGAGGAGACGAGGAACCATCATGGAAGACAGGCCCCTGCACGGTATGTACCACCGGCAGATAGAGGAGGTGGCTGATATCCAGAAATCCTACCAGTGGCTGGACAAAGATGGACTGAAAGACAGCACAGAGGCACTAATCATGGCAGCACAAGAACAAGCTCTGAGAATTCCCAAGCTAGGCGAGTGGCTCCAGCAGATCCCGGGAACAACATCGGAGATCTCTGTCCAGAAGAGCGCAGTCCTGGGAACAGCTAAGATACTGCGCAGGACCCTCAAGCCCCCAGGCCTCTGGTAGAGGACCCGAGCTTGAAGGATAAACCGCCCGCAGGGGCGTGCTGGGTGTTTATATATATATATATATATATATATATATATATAATATATATATATATATAGTGATTACACAACAACTTTACATTTTCAGAGGTCTTTATTTTTCATCACACAGAAAACTGTCCCACTGGTATTTCTCCAAAAATAGTCTAGTCTAATATTATGTTTACATTAACTAGATAATTATTTAATGTTGTACATATTTTTTTTAATTTAGGTATTTTTGGTATACAATATAACTGGAGAAAACTTTTTGGGAACTTTTGGGGCGTAAAAATAAATATAGGGAATGAATTCACTGCACAGGCATATTACATATATCCTAACCTATTAGGCCTTTCTGTAATATGCCTGGCAGTATCCAGCCTTCCTCCTTTCTGTCTGTCAGTCAGGAGGAGGAAGAGGATGATGATGATGATGATGATGATGACGAAGAGCTACTTGAATTCCCCCTTTGATTCGTGACCTCAGTTTACTTTTAAATACAGGCCTCATCTAACAAACTCCTAATCACATAAATACAGTTTACATAATGTCTCCAATCTCAAAGTAAACCCATTATAGACCACGTCTTACTTTACAGTTAACACTCTGTTTTCTATTATTTATTACATCTAAAAATGTTCTAGTCCTGTTCAGCTGTAGACGTCAGCACAGGTAAACTGTAACTCAGAATGATTTTTATCAAAAAATGTTTAAAGGAAGGATTTTTGATTGGATGAACAGGATAACTGGTGGAAAAAGAAGAAAGGGGTGGGATTAAATTAGCTCAATTATTTATTAGGATTAGGATATTAGATTTAAATTTTTCTGTTATTATTATTAATATTATTCTATTATTATTCTGTTCTCCTTATGCTGCTTTGGTTTATGTGTGTGTGTTTTTTAGTTGTTATTATTTTAACATGTTCAAAATAAAAGCACACAAACAAACATTAGCAAGCTAGAAGTTTTAGGATATGTTTGATTACTAATATGTTTCTGGGTTTGTTTGAGTCTAAGAACAAAGGCTTCTCCTAAACCTGCACACCTTTGAGCTGACTCATCTCTCTGCTGTGTAAAGAATAAACATGTCTTTGTGTACTGTATGACATCCACATGTGAAACACCCGTCCATATTCTGATCCTCAGAAACATTTAGCCTTCATAAACCCACAGCTGATGTGAGACGTGGCTGCAGCAAAGGAAGATGACTGATTCTGAACTATCTCCAAGTTTAAGAACAAATGTGCTGATAACAAGTGCTGTAAATGTTTTGGTTACGATGGTTTTAGTGTAAATGATCACAGAGACGGCCTCCATTTATAAAATCAATAAATCAGTCTGGACTCTGTCTCTTGTTTTGCTTTTAGACAAGCTTCAGTAAATTTAACAGAAAATAGATTAATTCTGCAATCCTTCAGTTAGTGAGAGAGCCGGTGTTAGTGAGATTTCTTGCTAGCTACAGACACATTACATCAGCGTGTCCTCAGGCTTGTTTTCTTTGTGAGTATGATTTAGCTTTCGAAGAGGTCAAACAACAGTACAGACATCATGGCAGCAGCCTGCAAGCATTTAACTGAGATGGACTGTAACCCTGGTACACTTACAGATGAGCTCTGTGCTATAGTCACAACTAGTGTTCTGAGTTTGCTGTGTAATAAAATATCACCTGCTGACTGATTACAAGGAGATAAAATATCAACATATGGAGCGTTTCCTTCACAAGGATCAGCTAGATTATTACACACAGAGGCCTCTGAGGGTCCCTCGTCTTTTTCTTGGATCCTCCCTGTCTTACCCACACAGGCCACTTGAGGCACCATATCACAGCCCAGGATACATCACACACATGCGTCCTTACGCTTAGTTAACAACAATAAAAGGGCCTGTGTTTCAAACTGAGACAGAAAAGGAGAAGAAGTTTGAAGATGGGAAGCAAGAACAGGAACTGAGTGAAGATGTAAGTTCATAGAGCCTTATTGAATTTTTTACTTTGATCATTTTCAGAAACAATGAAATGTGTTTATATTTGTAGTAAAGAGACATAAGTCCACTTCATCACTAACTTAAAGTGAAGCCAGTGAGTTTGTGTGTAAAGAAAACACTGCTTTAAAGAAAACTTTGAAGTTTAATCTGATGTTTGAATTGGACAAACAGGTATCATCTAATGTTACACTGTAAAAAATGTGAACACCTTTTATTGTCTAACTGTGAAATCGGTGAGATGTTGTTTCCAGTGTCAGAAGTACCCTCATGTCCTATTGTTCCTGAGTTGTGGTTCACACATGGATACTTGTTCTGGAAGTGAAAGTAAACTTTTCTTTGTGCGTCAGCAGTTTCTGTTCTGGCTGACAGTGAGTTTAGGTTGTGTTTCATTGTGTTTGCTGAAGATTTAACAGAAACACCAGGCGGAAGATGTTTCTGCTATTTCTGCTCCTCATGAACGGTAATGTTATTATCACAGGTGTTATATTTGAATCATTTACTGTATTTATTCATGTGAAATGCTGTTACTGTCAATGATGCAGTGATTGTCATCATTATTTATAATCTAGTCACAGCTGTGGTCAGAACAGGCATGGGTATGGTGGTAACTTGGAGGGTTTGATGATTTATTTGACCTGTTTGTTTTTAAGGTGGATTGATTGTACAGCATCCACCTTTACTGAGTTTAAAATTCGGTGCACAAGCTTTAATATATTTTGGATGTTCTTTAATCTACACAGGGCCAAACATGTACATACATTACATGTAAATTCAATGACGTAACTTAACAGTTACAAAATTTGTATCCATGTGAGAATTTTGCACCATTTCTAAACTAAATACAGAACAAGGAGGAATAAGGAAAGAGCACCACGGGCTGTTAATAATGACGGTCTTCGATGCTGTAGATTGTACTATGAACCCCAGTACAGGAAAGTCTGGAACGGCTCTCTGCTTATAGGTCGAAGTCTCTGATCCCACGAGTATTACTGCCAGTAGGGAAACAGAGCTCGGGTGGAGCAGGGCAGGAGACTCACCCAGTTCTGATTGCTGTCCGAATGTGGATCCTGCTTTCACTAAAGCTGTGCTTGCCAGGGTGGCCTTGCAGCCAAGCACCTTCAGTCACATCCATCATCAGCTGCTCTAAATCTGTGAATTTGATAACTGACCAGGTTATAGTTTAGTCACCTGTAAAATAGGCCCCAAGGATCTGTCAGTTTTTAAGGCCATAAGTTTCACCAGTCTCATTATCAAATCACTTTAATTATTCTTATCTAATGAATCTACTAATGGTGATGTCTAATGCTGACCTGGAGAGGAGAGAGGATGAGGAGCACATTGAAGTCTGGAGATGTACTAATCTCTGATCTGTGTGGATATAATCCCACAGGAAGGGACCCAAATCCTTGGAGGTTAAAATCCAACACGGTAAAATGAGCAGAGAAAAGCCAAAATGATAAATCCAACATGTAAAATCCACAGTGTTCAGCTGTGGCTGATCCTCTAGTGAACTTTCAGGGTCGGATCTCCTGACGATGTCCTCCACTCATCACAGGGAACTAGAAGAAGAAACCTGAATGTTCCCAGGAGCCATCATCAGGAGCCAACATATGTTATACTTTATTATTACTAAGACGACTAAACCATCTATGATAAGTGCCTTGTTGTTGATTTGAGGATGGTTGAACCCACAGCATGCAGTTAATTTGTGCTCTTTTGTTTTGTGTCCTCAGTTTCCCAGCATGCTCTGGCTGTGGAGGTAGAAGGAAATACAGAGGCAGAGTCTGTCCAGCTGCCCTGTCAGCACTCAGGTTTCATACCTGACGACAATCCCACAGTGACTTGGACCCGCAATGATCTCGATCCCACAACCGTCCACGTACGACGAAAAGAAGGAGATGATCTTAAAGGACAAAACCGGAGTTACAGCAGGCGCACGTCGATGAGGCCTGATGCTCTGGACTCTTTAGACTTCAGCCTCACTCTGAGAAAACCACAACTGACCGACAGCGGCAAATATAGCTGCACCCTCAGTGATGGGAGGAAAGAACGGACACTGACAGATGTACAGCTGCAGGTCAAAGGTCAGCCACAAACCTCAACACCTATGATACCAGGTCAAAGGTCAATACTCTTCAGAGGTCTATGTCTGTTTATCCTCTTATACTACAGTACCCATGATGCAGTTCATGAGTCGTTCTGTGTCACTCACCCAAACTTTAGCAAACTGGAAGAGCTGAACACAAACCTCCCACCAAAACATGGAAATCTGAATCCCGCCTTTGATCACATTCACTGGTCAGACCAATGGTTCAAATGTAAGAATAACTGCATTAGAAGCTACATTTATTTCATCTGCAAGGAGATTATCTTCTGTTTTCTTTCATTCCTGCAGTCTTGTTGGTTCTTTTTCAGGGAAATTCAAAATGTGCTGCATGCTGAGAAGCAATTGTGAACGATACCAGAGTGTGAGATCAAGTAATTCTGACTAAGTGTCTAATTCACATGCCAGAAAACACAGAGTGAAGCACACGTGGAGGTGGTGCCCTCATAGTTCAGTGAAGTCTCTAGAGTCCCCTCTGATCAAGTCAATAATCATCAAAGGCATACACAGAAGCAAACTACTGCTTTTTGAACTAGACCACAGCTCAGCCACTGGCCATCGCAAAACTATATACATTCATTTTTACTGTGCAGGAACTGAATATCACACAGTCCATCAGCGATCTTCAGTTCTTTGATTTCAATTTAAATCCTGCATCACAGTTCATCAGAAAGGACACCTGGTTGATCTGCAGTAAAGATGAACTTCAGGATTTTCTTCTGTCTGTACAGCTCATGATATGCTTTGTTGTTCTCTCAGCTGACAGAGAGGAGGTGGATTCAGGGGTGGCGTCTGTCCAGCTGCCCTGCAAAACCACACATCATCTGGCTGAAGATGCTAAAGTGGAGTGGATGGACAGTGGTAATCATAGGGTCCATGTATTTCAAGATGGCCTGGACCAGCCAGATGAACAGAGTAAGGATTACAGAGGCCGAACAGAGATGTATGCAAACCTGGTGAAAACTGGAGACCTCAGTCTGACCCTGAAACACCCCACAGATGGAGACACACAAGTCTACACCTGCACCGTCTACAGCAGGGAGGGAAACATCCTGCTGATGAAACAAGTGAAGCTCTATGTCAGAGGTCAGTGCTGTAGATACATACTGATATCTGAATCAAGTGTTATGAGTGAACTAAAATGAAGAAAGAAATAAAAGAAATGCCACCATCAGAGCATGACAGAAGGTAACACTTGTAACCTAACAACCAATCACAGCAGGGCAACCCTCCAGGTGATCCAATCTAGCAGTCAGTACTAAAGATCCAGCTCAGAGTTCAGGGCAACGTTGGTGGGACATTTCTTCAGATGTGCTGGGTTTTGATTTTTTGTTTCTGTCTTTTCTTATTGACAGAATACAAATCCAACATCATAATAATCACACTGGCATGCGTCATTGTTGCGATCATCATTTCTATTCCTGTGGGCTTTTGCTGGGGTGTTCGCAAACATCAATGGTAGAAGACGGCTAAAAAGAAGGTATGTGATTCTGTGTCTCTGTGTGTCTTTAGCAAAAAGCAAACCGCCTCATAGATCAATCAGCTCCAAGTCAGAGAAACACAGGACGCAGGGGTGAGGAGCTGCTGGTTACACAGCAGAGGAGATGATGGAGGGTCACACTCACATGTGTCTGTCCTTATGCTCTGCTCTGTGTCCTTTCTGTTCTTTAGGCAGTGAAAGTGGAGAGGTCGGTCTTCAGGAGGCCACAGTGGAGTGAAGGCAGTCACTACAATATGTGATGGTCCACGTGTGTCAGTGAAGCCTAAAGTAGACTGATAAACCAGCCTGTTAGACTGAGATCAAAGCAGTTTGTCTTTAATACTGGATCTCATGCTGTCCACTGGCTGCTTTATGCTTCCTACAGTCCAAAGACATGTTTCTTGTCCTGCAGCAGCTGAGATAAGTTCCTGAAGTTAGCATGTTTACACTGCACTCATGTCACAGTTCAGATCTCAGTTTAACATTTCTATATGATGTTTATTATAAGGTTAGCTGCTGAACTGTGACCAGATGAGAGCATGTTTTTGGGAATATACATATTGGTTTGGTCGTGAGGCCCCTTTGTTGGTGGTACTTACTGGTTTAAACAGCTAACCAATGAAATCAGGTCCACAGCAGGAGCACATGTGGGCCACATTAAAGAAACACTTTATCCTGTATTCGGGAGTGATGATGATAATAATATTAAAGGTGCTGTTTTTATTTTTATCTAATTGGTTTTGTTTGAAAAGGGACCGTGTACGATATTAACACTCTGTAACAGAGTTAGCTTAATGCTAATTAGCATCTACATCAGCATCCTTGCCAGGTTACGTGCACTTCTAGCATGTAAAATTTAACGAAGTAGAATTTCCCTGCTCCCAGTGTTTGTGCTCTCCTGCTCCTACATTCCCACCTCCTCTGTCAGCTATTCACATGGTCACGTTAAACTAGCTAACTCTGGCTGTTTCTCAGTATGTGTACTTGTGTTCTTGCCTTGGTCTTTGAATATATGGTAGGAATCCAAAGATTAAGCAGCTCAAAAGATGTTAGTCAAGCTTCACTCTGTGGTTTCATATGTTCAGTGAAGTAATGTGAAAACACAACGGCTGAACTACACACAAGGTGCCTGATGATTTAAGAATAGAATAGAATAGAATAATCCTTTAATTGTCCCACAAGGGGAAATTTGGTTGTAACAGCAGCCAGAAAGACACATATACAAACAAACAGTACACAGGGCACAGAACAGAAACATACACAATTTTTCTTACATATTTACATTAAGGACAATGGTTACTATATACAGAGAGTACTGTACTCATTTAACCAATGAGACTTGACAATAAAGTAACTATAACTAAAGTCTGGAGTCTTACTTATGAAAAACTGTGAGCAAAATTAAACTAACATTTCAATAGGAATAAACTTGGAGCAAAAGCCAAAACTATGATCTCTTTGAACTACAACAATACTATGATTAACCTAGAGCAGAGCTATGATAGATGCTGTGTGCTGTGAATTCACTCTAAAGTAAGAGTCCATGGATTGAGCCTGAAGGCTGGAGAGTTCGAGGGCTGGGAACCCGATACGGGGTAACAGCCCATGCAGGAACCCAGAGGTGTGGGGGTAAGTGAAGGTTAGAAGGGTAACGGAGCCGGGGAGCTCAGAGTCACGGCAATGAAGGGAAACAGATGTCAAAGACAACTCCAGACGCCAACCCAGATTGTGCTGGTCTTTAAAGCCGGCAGCCAAATTACGTCCAGGTACTGTCTGTCTGTGATGACCCGGCGACTCCGCCCAAAGGTGGAATTACTGGTGCTGTGGAAAAAGCCGGCACTCACCCGGACCATGACAAGGGGAGTAGAGTTTCTATTACAATGTAACTCTGAGATCAGCAGCGTTCCTGTAAACCTATCAAATTTCCACAAACAGATCCTTTGATTATGGAAAATGATATTTACACAACACTCCTCTCCCCACATGTCCTCCCTTTGGAACAATAGTATCGCTGAAATTGGTTTGAGGGTGATGCATTGCTTGTGACTGATTCACTGAACTCCGTGTTTTTTAATCAAATATAAGTTGTACACAAAAGGATTACAGGCAGGCGACTTATGCCATCCCACTGGCACTAAGGCAGTTAACCCTTTATTGACCGGCCCTTCAAATTTACCTGTAAAATGGGCCCGCTGGTGGGCCCATAGTCAATAAAGGGTTAATCTGTAACAGCACATTACATTCAGATGTCAAACCATTAATGCCAAACTTAGCACTTGGAGCTGTAATTTAAATGATGGTTATTTAGGCAGCATGTAAAAAAAAACCCTCTTGATTGCATCCCAATCACTAATACCGAGGATTTCTCTTCCTGACATTCTGTTAGTTACATCAGCAATATTGCACAGTGAAAAAGGTTTCACAATATGCATCATTCTTACAGTGTCAGGAAAATAATTTTACTCATCACAATCATCCTCGCTCTCGCTATCATCAATGTAATCTTCAGCCTGCAACAGCAAACAGCTGTTTGCAAACAGCTTGCAGTGGCTGGCATGGATCCAAGTAGCTTGTTCTTTAACCTTCACCGCTGTTTGTGTGATCAGCAGGACTTGGAATGGGCCCAGCCACCGCTTTGCCTTCCAATGTCTCCTCCTGAAATCATTCACCAGTATCCAGTCGCCTGGTCTAAATGGGTGCAGGGGTCCTTCTGCATGGGCAGGGCTGCTTTTACTGCTCGGTGTACCTGTGAGAGGGTCCAAGAGAGACTTTGACAGTACACAATCATTTCACTGTTGCACAACTCTGTAGACATACCTGTCCATTTCGGGGGTTCTGCCCCCACTCTGGCAGGCCGTCCATACAACACCTCATACGGGCTGAGGTGTGCTGGGGGTCTGGTCCGTGTCCGCACATACATCAGCACGCGGGGAAGTGCTTTTGGCCATGTGAGGCCAGTTTCTTCACAGCACTTCACCGGCTTGGACTTTAAGGAGCCGTTCATTCTCTCCACAGCACCTCCAGATTGTGGGTGATATGCACAGTGTGTTTGCAATTTGAAACCTAGTCGCTCGCTGATTTCCTTCAATGCCTGGGATCCTATGCCAGTCATCTATCGTTTACTGTCAGAAACCTTGGAGTAGTGCTGGATAGTTCCCTCAAATTAGACAAGCAAGTGGCTGCAGTGGTGAAAACCAGCTTCTACCAACTGTACAAAGCCCTCCCCCGCGCCCCATTCGGCCAATCAGATCACTGCTCCATCCTGCTCCTGCCCGCCTACAGGCAGAAGCTGAAACAGGAAGCTCCAACCCGGAGGGCGGTGCACTGTTGGACGGACCAATCGGAGTCTGCGCTGCGGGACTGTTTTGATCACGCGGACTGGGAAATGTTTCACGTGGCCGCCAGAGACATTGATGAATACACAGACTCAGTCTGTGGATTTATCAGGAAATGCGTGGAAGATGTCGTCCCATCCAGAACAGTCAAATCCTTCCCAAATCAAAAACCCTGGATTAACGGAGATGTTCGCGCGGCACTGGCGGCACGGAACACCGCCTTTGCCTCCGCGAACACATCGGACTACAAACACGCACATTACCAACTCCGGAAGACGATCAAAGCAGCCAAACGTGAGTACAGGGACAGGGTGGAGCAACAGTTTGACAACCCTCGGAGTATGTGGCAGGGACTAAACACGATCGCAGACTTTAGAGGGAAAACCAGCACACCGCAGACCACGGCCTCTCTGTGTGAGGATCTAAACGTATTCTACGCTAGATTCGACACAGCGAACACCATGAGACCGGACAGTGTGCGCACCGCGGATGACGTCAGTGCGCACACTGTGTCTGAGGAGGATGTGCGGAAGTGCTTCAGGAAGGTGAACGCACGCAAAGCTACTGGTCCGGACGGGATTCCCGGCCGCGTCCTCAGGTCATGCGCGGCTCAGCTGGCTGGAGTGTTCACGCACATCTTCAACCTTTCCCTCTCTCTGTCTGTAGTCCCAGCCTGCTTCAAAATGGCCACCATCGTCCCTGTACCCAAATCCTCCACCATCTCCTCATTGAACGACTGGCGACCTGTAGCCCTGACCCCCATCGTAAGCAAATGCGTCGAGAAGCTGGTCAGGGACTTAATCCGCTCTGCACTACCCGACTCACTGGACCCTCTACAGTTTGCATACCGCCACAACAGGTCCACTGATGATGCCATAGCCCTGACACTACACACTGCCCTGTCACACCTGGAGAAGAGAGACACGTATGTGAGGATGCTGTTTGTAGATTACAGCTCAGCATTCAATACCATCGTTCCCTCGAAGCTGGACAGGAAACTGCAGGATCTAGGACTGAGCAGCTCCCTCTGCAGCTGGATCCTTAGCTTCCTGTCTGACAGACGCCAGGTGGTCAGACTGGGCAGCATCACCTCATCCCCCATCACACTGAACACTGGTGCTCCACAGGGGTGTGTACTGAGCCCTCTCCTGTACTCACTCTACACCTACGACTGCACAGCCACTAACAGCTCCAACATCATTGTGAATTTTGCGGACGACACTACAGTGGTGGGTCTTATCACCAACGGTGATGAGACGGCTTACAGGGAGGAGGTCAGCGCCCTGACCCACTGGTGTCAAGACAACCATCTCACCCTCAACGTCGCAAAGACAAAGGAGTTGATAGTGGACTTCCGGAGGTGCAGAGAAGTACACACCCCCATCACCATCAACGGCGCTGCTGTGGAGAGAGTGAGCAGCTTCCGGTTCCTTGGTGTACATCTGGCTGAGGATCTTACGTGGTCAGTACACACAAACAAAACAGTGAAGAAGGCGCAGCAGCGCCTCTTCTTTCTCAGGAGACTGAAAAGATTCGGCATGAGCCCCCGCATCTTCAGGACCTTCTATCACTGTGCCATTGAGAGCATCCTCACTGGATGCATCACCACCTGGTATGGCAACAGCACCGCCTACAACCGCAAAGCTCTCCAGCGAGTAGTGCGGTGCTCTGAACGGATAATTGGAGGTGAGCTTCCCTCCCTCCAAGACATCTACAGGAAGCGCTGCCTGAGGAAAGCGGGGAGGATCATCAAGGACTCCAGTCACCCCAGCCATAAACTGTTCAGACTGCTTCCATCAGGAAGGAGGTTCTGCAGCATCCGGTCCCGTACCAGCAGACTGAGAGACAGCTTTTTCCATCAGGCCATCAGACTGCTGAACACGTCATAGACACCTCAGCTTCA